AAGCTCCTCAGATGGGTCTCACCAACTCTTGGGATACATTTGGCCAAATTCTCCTCTTGGTGATTCCAACTCTACATGCTGTTACAGGAGGCCCCAAACTTATAACTACTCTAGTAGCGCCTATCTAGGTATTTATTTACAGGACATCACTAGGTCTCAAGCTTATATACCTTCCCAAGTAGAGTGCATACAGCAAGTTATGGATGGAACATCACAAAGCCTCAAGCTCATAAATTCTCTAGTAGAGCCTATATACAGTGGGGATGGAAAGTTTGGGCACCCCAGCTAAAAATTTGTATTAATGTGCATAAAGAAGCCAAGGAAAGATGGAAAAATCTCCAAAAGGCATCAAATTACAGATTAGACATTCTTATAATATGTCAACAAAAGTTAGATTTTATTTCCATCATTTACACTTTCAAAATAACAGAAAACAAAAAAATGGCGTCTGCAAAAGTTTGGGCACCCTGCAGAATTTATAGCATGCTCTGCCCCCTTTGCCAAGCTGAGACCTGCCAGTGTCATGGATTGTTCTCAATCATCATCTGGGAAGACCAGGTGATGTCAATCTCAAAGGTTTTAAAATGCCCCGACTCATCTGACCTTGCCCCAACAATCAGCACCATGGCTTCTTCTAAGCAGTTGTCTAGAAAACTGAAACTGAAAATAGTTGACGCTCACAAAGCTGGAGAAGGCTATAAGAAGATAGCAAAGCGTTTTCAGATGTCAATATCCTCTGTTCGGAATGTAATTAGGAAATGGCAGTCATCAGGAACAGTGGAAGTTAAAGCAAGATCTGGAAGACCAAGAAAAAATATCAGACAGAACAGCTCGCAGGATTGTGAGAAAAAACAATTCAAAACCCACGTCTGACTGCACGATCCCTCCAGAAAGATCTGGCAGACACTGGAGTTGTGGTCACTATTCTACTATAAAGAGATACTTCTACAAATATGGGCTTCATGGAAGAGTCATCAGAAGAAAACCTCTTCTACGTCCTCACCACTAAAATCATCGTTTGAACTTTGCAAATGAACATATAGGCAAGCCAGATGCATTTTGGAAAACAAGTTCTGTGGACCGATGAGGTTAAAATTGAACTTTTTGGCCGGAATGAGCAAAGGTACGTTTGGAGAAGAAGAGGCACAGAATTTAATGAAAAGAACCTCTGTCCAACTGTGAAGCATGGGGTTGGATCAATCATGCTTTGGGGTTGTGTTGCGGCCAGTGGCACAGGGAACATCTCACGAGTAGAAGGAAAAATGGATTCAATATAATTTCAGCAAATTTTGGATGGTAACTTGATGCCATCTGTGAAAAAGCTGAAGTTAAAGAGAGGATGGCTTCTACAAATGGATAATGATCCTAAACACACCTCGAAATCCACGGGGGATTACATCAAGAGGCGTAAACTGAAGGTTTTGCCATGGCCTTCACAATCTCCTGACCTCAACATCATTGAAAATCTATGGACAGACCTTAAAAGAACAGTGCGTGACAGACAGCCCAGAAATCTCAAAGAACTGGAAGACTTTTGTAAGGAAGAATGGGCAAAGATACCTCAAACAAGAATTGAAAGACTCTTGGCTGGCTACAAAAAGCGTTTACAAGCTGTGATACTTGCCAAAGGGGGCAGTACAAGATATTAACTCTGCAGGGGGCCCAAACTTTTGCAGACGCCATTTTTTTAATTTCTGTTATTTTGAAAGTGTAAATGATGGAAATAAAATCTAACTTTTGTTGACATATTATAAGAATGTCTAATCTGTAATTTGATGCCTTTTGGAGATTTTTTCCATCTTTCCTTGGCTTCTTTATGCACATTAATACAAATTTTTAGCTGGGGTGCCCAAACTTTCGATCCCCACTGTACCTAGTTAAGGATGGGACATCACTAGGGCTCACACCAAAGCTCCTCTGATGGGTCACTCAAACTCTTGGGGTACATTTGGCCACATTCTCCTCTTGATGTCCTGAACACTACATGCTTTTACGGGAGGCCTCAAATGTATAAATACTTTAGTAACACCTATCTAAGTATTTCTGAACAGGGCATCACTAGGCCTCACATTTACAAAACTCCTCTAGTAGAGCCTATCTAGTAAGTTATCATCACTAGGTCTCAAGCTCACAACTCTTCCTAATAGAACGTATCTATCTAGTTATGGATGGGACAACACTAGGCCTTACACCGAAGCTCCTCAGATGGGTTTCCAAATTCTAAGGATACATTTGGCCCTGTTTTCTTCTTGGTTTTCCCAATGCTTCATGCTTTTACAGAAGGCCTCAAATGTATAACTCCTCTAGTAGAGCCTATCTGGGTATTTATTTATAGGACATCACTAGGGCTTAAGCTTATAACTTCTCTAGTAGAATCTATCTAGATAGTTATGAAGAAGACATCATTAGCACTCACGCTTACAACCCCTCTAGTAGAATCTATCTAGGTTTTTATGGACAGGCATCACTATTACTCAAGCTTATAACTCCTCTAGTAGAGCCTACATAGCAAGTTATGGACAGGACATCACTAGGTCTCAAGCTTATGACTTCTCTAGTAGTGTTTCTATAACAAATTATGGATGGGAAATCATTAGGTCACAAAGTTATAACTTCTCTTGTAGAGCCTATCTAGTTATTTATGGACAAGGCATCCTAAGGCCTCATGCTTATCTAGGAGAACCTATCTAGCTAGGTATGCACAAAACATCACTAAGCCTCAAGCCTAAAACTTCTCTAGTAGAGCCTATCTAGCAAGGTATGGATGCGACATCACCAGGTCTCAAGTTTATAACTTCTCTAGTGAAGCCTATATAGCTACAGTTGTGACCAAAATTATTCAACCCCACTGAAATTGAGTGTTTTGGCCAGTTTGACATTGCTTTTGATCATTCAGTCATCTTGCTTACATTTACATTTAAAGAGGCACTTGTAGGTCAGACAAATATAACATAACAGTTATAATGAAATAACCACAAATGTCTTTTCTGTGCTCACAGCATTCTATCAGTTTATTCAACCCCAAGTGACATTCAATCTTAGTACTTAGTACAGCATCCTTTTACAGTTTATAACAGCTTTTAAACGTGAAGCATAGCTTGACACAAAGTGTCTTGCAGCGATCTACGGGTATCTTCGCCCATTCTTCATGGGCAAAGGCCTCCAGTTCAGTCACATTCTTCTTAGGCTTGCGCACTGCAACTGCTTTCTTTAAGTCCCACCAGAGGTTCTCAATCGGATTTTTAAGTCTGGTGACTGCGATGGCCACTCCAAAATGTTCCAGCCTTTCCTCTGCAACCATGCTCTAGTGGACTTGGAGGTATGCTTGGGATCATTGTCCTGTTGAAAGGTCCAACGTCCCCAAGCCTCAGGTGTGTGACGGACTGCATCACGTTTCCATCCAATATCTCCTGGTACTGAAGAGAATTCATGGTACCTTGCACACGCTGAAGCTTCCCTGTACCTGCAGAAGCAAAACAGCCCCAAGCATGATTGACCCTCCACCATGCTTCACAGTAGGCAAGGTGTTCTTTTCATCATAGGCCTTGTTCTTCCTCCTCCAAACATAGCGTTGATCCATGGGCCCAAACAGTTCTAATTTTGTTTCATCAGTCCACAGAACACTATCCCACAACTTTTGGTTTGTCCACATGGCTTTTGGCATACTGCAGTCGACTCTTCTTATTCTTTGGAGACAGCAAGGGGGTACGCCTGGGAGTTCTGGCACGGAGGCCTTCATTACGCAGTGTGCGTCTTATTGTCTGGGCTGAAACTTCTGTACCCACATCTGACAAATCTTTTCTCAGTTCCTCAGCAGTCACACGGGGACTTCTCTCCACTCTACGCTTCAGGTAGCGCACAGCAGTCGAAGTCAGCATCTTCTTTCTGCCACGACCAGGTAGCGTTTCAACAGTGCCCTTTGCCTTGAATTTGCGAATGATGCTTCCTAAGGTGTCTCTTGGTATGTTTAACATCTTTGCAATCTTCTTATAGCCATTGCCCTTCCTGTGAAGAGAAATCACCTCTTCTCTTGTCTTCCTGGACCATTCTCTTGCCTTTCACCATGTTTGTAACCCACACACCAGTAAATGTCTAGAAGGAGCTGAGTATCACAGTCATTTTAAAGCTGCCTAATTGGTGCTTATTATGCTTGATTGCTGTCGGTGACATCCACAGGTGTTTTCAATACCTGATGGAAAGCACCTGTATGAAACCTCTGTTCTTCAGAGTGGTAGTCTTTAAGGGGTTGAATAATTGTGGCAATGAAGAAACCACATAAGAACCATTTACTACTGTATTACATAAACAATTGATGTCATTTTAGTTGCATTTGGGTAGTTACAACGTCCTTGTAGGATTTGATTCTGAATACAATTCCAAATGTACACTATAGTCCCTAAACCCCCTTTACAGCATTGGGGGTTGAATAATTTTGGTCACAACTGTATTTATGGACAGGACATCACTAGGTCTCAAGGTTATACCTCCTCTAGTAGAGCCTATCTAGCAAGGTATGGATGGGACATCACCAGGTCTCAAGCTAATAACTCCTTCAGTAGAGCCTATCTAGTAAGGTATGGACAGGACATCACTAGGTCTCAAGGTCATAACTTCTCTAGTAGAGCCTATATAGCTAGTTATGGACAGGACATCACTAGGTCTCAAGGTCATAACTTCTCTAGTAGCCTTATATATAGCTAGTTATAGACAGGACATCACTGGGTCTCAAGGTTATACATCTCCTCCAGTAGAGCCTATCTAGCAAGGTATGGATGGGTCATCACCAGGTCTCAAGCTTATAACTCCTTCAGTAGAGCCTATCTAGTAAGGTATGGACAGGACATCACTAGGTCTCAAGCTTATAACTAGAGATGAGAGCGAAGTATTCAAAAATTCGATTCGGCTGATTTGGCGAATTCGAGGAATAAATTCGATTCGAGGCGAATATATTCGCTGCGAATTTAACTTATAAAAGGGTGTTTCTAGGCTTCAGAGAGCCTTTATATTAGTGCAGAACACTGTACCTTTAATTTAAATGCCCTTGGAGTCTGCTGGGGAAGAGAAATAATACTGTCAGTCAGTATGACATGCAGATGAGTGCCGTCGATCTTAGAATCACCGCACACTTCACTCATTTGGGCAGTCACGGGGCCAAAACCAGAGTGTGGAGCCACAGTGTGGCGGTGGAGGCAGCAGCAATGGGAGGCCATACAGCACCCTATGACAAAATGGAACCCACCAGCAGTGTGAGGAGACCTGAAAGTGGCACATGGCAGAGTGTGGCGATGGAGACAGCAGCAATGGGAGGCCGTACAGGGACCCATGAGACACTCTGGACCTGGCAGCAGCATGAGGAGGCGGGGTACGGGGGCCCATGGCAGATTACGGGCCTGGCAGCAGCAATGGGAGGCCCGTAATCTGCCAGCACCCTATGACAAAATGGAACCCACCAGCAGTGTGAGGAGACCTAAAAGTGGCACATGGCAGAGTGTGTGGCGATGGAGACAGCAGCAATGGGAGGCCGTTACAGGGACCCATGAGACACATCTGGACCTGGCAGCAGCATGAGGAGGCGGTATAGGGGCCCATGGCAGATTACGGGCCTGGCAGCAGCAATGGGAGGCCCGTAATCTGCCAGCACCCTATGACAAAATGGAACCCACCAGCAGTGTGAGGAGACCTGAAAGTGGCACATGGCACAGTGTGGCGATGGAGACAGCAGCAATGGGAGGCCGTACAGGGACCCATGAGACACTCTGGACCTGGCAGCAGCAGCATGAGGAGGCGGTACGGGGGCCCATGGCAGATTACGGGCCTGGCAGCAGCAATGGGAGGCCCGTAATCTGCCAGCACCTATGACAAAATGGAACCCACCAGCACTGTGAGGAGACCTGAAAGTGGCACATGGCAGAGTGTGGCGATGGAGACAGCAGCAATGGGAGGCCGTACAGGGACCCATGAGACACTCTGGACCTGGCAGCAGCATGAGGAGGCGGTACGGGGGCCCATGGCAGATTACGGGCCTGGCAGCAGCAATGGGAGGCCCGTAATCTGCCAGCACCCTATGACAAAATGGAACCCACCAGCACTGTGAGGAGACCTGAAAGTGGCACATGGCAGAGTGTGGCGATGGAGACAGCAGCAATGGGAGGCCGTACAGGGACCTATGAGACACTCTGGACCTGGCAGCAGCATGAGGAGGCGGTACAGGGGCCCATGACAGATTACGGGCCTGGCAGCAGCAGCATGAGGAGTCGGTATGGGGGCCCATGGCAGATTACGGGCCTGGCAGCAGCAATGGGAGGCCCGTAATCTGCCAGCACCCTATGACAAAATGGAACCCACCAGCAGTGTGAGGAGACCTGAAAGTGGCACATGGCAGAGTGTGGCGATGGAGACAGCAGCAATGGGAGGCCGTACAGGGACCCATGACAGATTACGGGCCTGGCAGCAGCATGAGAGGCGGTACAGGGGCCCATGACAGATTACGGGCCTGGCAGCAGCAATGGGGCCCGTAATCTGCCAGCACCCTATGACAAAATGGAACCCACCAGCAGTGTGAGGAGACCTGAAAGTGGCATATGGCAGAGTGTGTGGCGATGGAGACAGCAGCAATGGGAGGCCGTACAGGGACCCATGACACACTCTGGACCTGGCAGCAGCATGAGGAGGCGGTACAGGGGCCCATGACAGATTACGGGCCTGGCAGCAGCAATGGGAGGCCCGTAATCTGCCAGCACCCTATGACAAAATGGAACCCACCAGCAGTGTGAGGAGACCTGAAAGTGGCACATGGCAGAGTGTGGCGATGGAGACATGGGCCCCCTGGCCACGCTTGACTTTCTGGCCACATAGTCGACATACGGCTACGTTTACTTCCTCGGGCGGCTTGACGAAAAATTGCCACACCGCCGAGTAGGAAACTTTGCCCCCGCTACTCCTCACTGGCTGACTGCTGCTTCCTCCGTGCACACCGGCACCACTACTGGCCGTGGTGGTAGGCTGCAGTGGAGCTGGTGCTCTACTCCGTGGACGTTTGGCTCCACTGACACTGCTGCGACCCTGCTGCCTCCTGGGCAACCCACCGACTGTTTCGCTCACTGCCAAGCTGCCACCCTCTTCTCCTGATGATGCGGAAGCAATAGCCTGATGACGACGAGGCTGCCAAGTGCGATCAACCTCCTCATCATCAAGTAGGGTCTCCGCCTCACTACTAGCCCCCTCGGCTGCGTCTGGGTCAGGAGACAGACCTGTCTCTAGACCGGCTACCGAGCCACTCTCCTCGCCACTACTTCTTCGCCTGGCTGCTGAAGAGGCGGATGTCTCCCCCCGTTCCTGACCGCCCTCTGTTAGCTCTTCCTCACTGTACAGTGGGGCTGAGCCCACAGCATGCGATACTTCGCTTGGTGAGGGAACAGCAAAGGACAGGGGCAGGTAGAGGACACGTGATTTCAGTGGGCTTGCTCCCGGGCCATGCCAACTAACGGTTGTGTCTGACGTACCCACCAACCGTTGGCTGTAGGTGTCAGAGGTGACCTGGGAAGAGGAAGACGACCGAGTCAACCAATCGATGACGGCAGGGTTGTCGGTGGAGACACGACCGCTGGATGACACCGGGAGCACTGGCCTCTGGCTGCGAATACTGCTGCCTCGACCCCTTCCTCTGCTGCCACGTCTGCTCGCTCCTACAACATTGCCTCCTCTGCCACTCCTCTGCGTGTTGTCTGACATACTCTTTAATTCAACGATTCTGTGTCCCTGAGTAACAATTCTGTGTCTGTCCCTGAGTAACAATTCTGTGTCCCTCAGTAACAATTCTGTGTCCCTCAGTAACAATTCTGTGTCTGTCCCTGAGTAACAATTCTGTGTCCCTCAGTAACAATTCTGTGTCTGTCCCTGAGTAACAATTCTGTGTCCCTGAGTAACAATTCTGTGTCCCTCAGTAACAATTCTGTGTCCCTCAGTAACAATTCTGTGTCTGTCCCTGAGTAACAATTCTGTGTCCCTGAGTAACAGTTCTGTGTCCCTGAGTAACAATTCTGTGTCCCTGAGTAACAATTCTGTGTCCCTGAGTAACAATTCTGTGTCCCTCAGTAACAATTCTGTGTCCCTCAGTAACAAATCTGTGTCCCTCAGTAACAATTCTGTGTCTGTCCCTGAGTAACAATTCTGTGTCCCTCAGTAACAATTCTGTGTCTGTCCCTGAGTAACAATTCTGTGTCCCTGAGTAACAATTCTGTGTCCCTCAGTAACAATTCTGTGTCCCTCAGTAACAATTCTGTGTCTGTCCCTGAGTAACAATTCTGTGTCCCTCAGTAACAATTCTGTGTCCCTCATGGATCATGGATGCCCCCTGGTCTCCTGCAGGTGGGGCAATAGAGCCCAAGAAGCATGGTGGCAAAGAGGGTTTGCAAGGGACACACATTTCTGGGGGTCACAGAAAGTAATTAAGTGGCTGTAAAGCAATCAGAAGACAGTTGGCTTGGGATTTTTGTTGAAAAAGGGTCATAGACGTGGTGGATAACGAGTGGGTTGTCGTAACGTAACCAATGTTAACACGCGTGTGCATTGAAGCATCCTCAACCGAATGCCAGGTTATTTTTTCTATTTTTGATTTCTTTCACACTGTTGGGGGGATTTTCCCTTAGGAGGACCTGCTTGTTGAAGATGTGCCACAAAAAAGGCAAGCAGACAGCAAAGGACTAGTCACCAGTATACTGCCTTCATACTACCTGCATGCCTTGTTTTGCACCGTGTCTCTGCATAGAGGCAGCCATCTTGATAGAGGCAGGGCTTTGCTTCCCCATGTCAGAGCTGCTCCCTGATGACTGGTGATCTGATGACTGATGTAGTAATGATAGAGGTGGAGGAAGCACAGATCCACAGAATGAAGGAAGCAGAAGCAGGGAGATCCTTGTACTGCAGGTCCTCGGGTACAGCTTTCTCTCCAGCAAGGAGAACAGTGAGCAACAAACTAGTGACATCACCAAATCTCACCCCAAATCTCGTGAGGTTATCTGTCAGAGGTATCAGTGCCTTGTGACAGTTGTTCTCAACCACCGAGCCATGGCCTGCCTCTTCCCGGGCCTTCAGCTAGCTGCAGATCCCCTAACCTAATGGGGACACAGAAACCAATGAAAACCTGACGGGGGTTCAATCCCCCTCCACTACATCCAAAACTAAAGAGAACGTTTCACCTTTAGTTACACTTTAATTGTTTCCCGTCCAGGAATTAGAATCGGTAACACTGTAATGAAATCCGTTCTTCCGTATGAATATAATGTTACCTCAGAGAATAGGTGCAGGAACTCCTCTCTTCTGAATCACTTCTTGTCTCCGCCCCCTACCAATCTCCGAGCACTGCCCCTTGGTTCCATCCCCTACCCACCTCCGAGCACCGCCCCTTGGTTCCATCTCCTACCCACTTCTGAGCACCACCCTTGGTTCCACCAGCTACCCACCTCCGAGCACCGCCCCTTGGTTCCATCCCCTACCCACCTCTGAGCACACCCCTTGGTTCCATCCCCTACCCACCTCTGAGCACGCCCCTTGGTTCCATCCCCTACCCACCTCTGAGCACTGCCCGTTGGTTCCATCCCCTACCCACCTCCGAGCACCGCCCCTTGGTTCCATCCCCTACCCACCTCTGAGCACACCCCTTGGTTCCATCCCCTACCCACCTCTGAGCACGCCCCTTGGTTCCATCCCCTACCCACCTCTGAGCACTGCCCGTTGGTTCCATCCCCTACCCACCTCCGAGCACCGCCCCTTGGTTCCATCCGATACCGACCTCCGAGCACCGCCCCTTGGTTCCATCCCCTACCCACCTCCGAGCACACCCCTATGTTCCCTGTGTCCCCCTATGTTCCTCTGCACTCCCCTACATTCCCCTGCATCCCCCTATGTCCCCCTACGTTCCCCTGCATTCTCCTGCATCCCCCTATGTTCCCCTGTACCCCCCTACGTTCCCCTGCGCCCCCCCTGCATCCCCCTACATTCTTCTGCGCCTCTCCCTGTGTCCCCCTGCATCCCCCTACATTCCACTGTGTTCCCTTGCATCTTCCTATGTCCCCCTGCATTCTCTTGCATCCTCCTATGTTCCCCTACGTTCCCCTGTGCCCCCCTGTGTTCCCCTGCATTCCCCTGTGCCCCCCTGCGTCCCCCTACGTTCCCCTGCGCCCCCTGCATTCCTCTGCACCCTCTGCGTTCCCCTGCACCCCCCTGCGTTCCCCTGCATCCCCCTACATTCCCCTGCACCCTCTGCGTTCCCCTGCGCCCCCTTGCACCCCCTGCATCCCCCTACATTCTCCTGTGTCCCCCTACATTCTCCTGTGTCCCCCTGCATCCCCCTACGTTCCCCTGCACCCCCTGCGTTCCCCTGCGCCCCCTGCGTTCCCCTGCACCCCCTGCATTCCCCTGCATCTCCTGCGTTCCCCTGCGCCCCCCCTGCACCCCCCTGCGTTCTCACTGGAAAAAAGCCCTGAATGTTACCAATCAGAAAAGACTAATCAGACTCCTCGGCTTCACCTTCTCTTTCATGTCACCTTCGGATGAGATCGATGATTGGCGGACGCGAAGGCTGAATAATTTCGCCCGGACTCCACGCGGTCCATCGCACAGCGATCCGTCAGTCCTGGCAGAGATGATCACGGCTTTTGTTACCTTTTACCTGATTCGCATTGATCGGCCGCGGTATAAAATAAAGCAGCGCGGTGCTGCAGACGCAATTCCCCGATCGCGGATAAAAAAGACATAAAGCTGGCGGATTTATTAGGTGTGGGAGCGTAATATATTCATGAAAGTTGGTGGAATCGATCTGTTGTATATACATTGCTGTGTGATGAGACATATTGTATCGGAATGATGACATTTCCATACAGACAGGACAGGGCGTCTATTAAAGAGGCACTCCGGGCCAGCCGCCATCATGACTTTCCAGTCAGATACTGAGAACAGAACCGCCCTCTACGCATTTCTAAATGCCAAACTTTATTATTAAAGGAATGTGTCATTTGGGCCCATTTGGGGTAAAGTGACAGGTCCTCTTGAACACTCAGGCCACACCCCCTGGTACCTTTAATGCCCTCCCCCGCTGTTCCAATGTGTGTGTCAGAGCTGTAGGACTGAACCCTCTGTAAGCTCCTTGTGGGCCAGTTTTGGGGCTTCCACAGGGTTAATGGCCTGCTGCCCCATGTGACAGCATCCGGGGCTGGGGATTGGGCACTAAATTAAAGAGAAGGTCACATGCCCCCCCATACCTGCAAGCATTGGGTATTTCCAAGGACTCCAGCCCAGGAGCAGCAAAGACGAGTATCAGTGGATGGGGAGGGGGTGGGGTGGTCCTTTAAGAAAGCTCACTTTATAGCCAGTAAAAGAGATCCAGGTGTGGAAAAACAATGAAAACAAAAAGCCCCCCATAAAGGAAGATAATTTATTCTTACGTTGTTCCGGGGCCCATTTGTAGGATCTTCCTGCAAAGCTACACCTCACAAAACTTCTTCAGATATGGCGCATGTGTCTGGCGTCTTAGTCCCCCACCATTCTTTGTGGTTCCTCATAATGGCCCTACATCAATACCGTGTCATGTTTTGTGGTAATGCAGGGAGTGGCACTAGGAGCCACAGAGCGTTGGGATGGGGTGATGGTATCTAAAACACCTTTAAGGGCCCATTCACACTGACCATTGCC